CACCCAGTGTGGAGGGTATCACTTGGGAAGAGTGAACGTCTACCCCTCCTGATGCTTCATCATTGAGCTTCCTCCCCAGGGATAAAGCCTGGTGATGGAGCATCTAGAAAGGGTGCACATTCACCCCTCTTGCACTGAATGAAAAAGAGGGCCCAACTGGGTGTCACCCCACCTCTGGGGTGTCACCCATTACTGTCTGCACCTCTACAGTGAGACCACTGATGGAAACGATATACTTTATGTATATAGTTATACTTGTAAAGCTGGAATAAAGTGAAACATGTAGTCTGACACGGAGATCCATAATGTCTGTAAGAATTGTGAGCAAGGCTGGTCCTACCATTACACTGAGTGAGGAAACCATCTCAAGTGGAAGATGAGGGAGCCCTGGTGGTGCAGTGGTTAAAATGCCTGTACTGCAGCCACTCACTCACAAGGCACAAGGTTGTGAGTTCAATCCTAGCCAGGGGCTCCAAGGTTGACTCAGCCTGGCATCCTTCCAAGGTCGCTAAAAGGAGTACCCAGCTTGTTGAGGGAAATTAGCTTACACATTATAAACCGCTTAGGGAGTGGTTAAATGCATTGATAAGTGGTATAGAAATGCACTTGCTATTGCTTGCTAAGATTTTGGGGGACAGCTTCCTTCCTTCCACCAGTCTCCTGCTGAGTTCCCTGACCGCCTCTCTTTCTTGGAGGCTGTATGTGTCATACAGTCTGCCCTGCACCCACTAAACTACCTGTTGCTCTAAGGTGCACTGCAGACAATAGCCTTATCCCATTGCTAATGATTCAGCTGCCAGTCTGCAGAATGGAATGGAGGAGGCAACTATCTTGGCCTTTGCCTCAGGAGCAAAACATCTTTGCCTGGTGCTGTATACAGCTATTGCCATGCAGCCTCACGTAAGTGCATATCTACTCAGAAGTAAAAATCCCATTATGCTTAACAGAAAAGTCTTAGGATGCTGCCACACTGCAGAAATAAAGCAATTTAACACTACTCCCATGGCTCGATGCTATGGGATTCTAGGATTTGTAGTTTTATGAGATATTTAGCCTTCCCTGTCAGAGAGCACTGGTGCCCCATGAAACAACAAAACCCACAATTCCATAGGATTGAGCCATGGTAGTTAAAGCAGTGTCAGACTGTATTAATTCTGCAGTGTAGATCCAGCCTTGCTGCTGAGGATCATAACATGATCTTCTGTATTACAGTTTTCATGAATTAAATGGGACTTTTTTGTGCTTAAGACTGCAGCCTGAACCCAACATTTAAACTTCTGAGGAAACATGCGTACACTAGCAGCTTATTTTTGAATCAGAATGTGAAAGGTTACTTTTGTTTTTTAAGAAAAAGAAGTAATTCATTACAGTTGTCAAGATGATAGATGTGTTAGTCTGTATCAGCATAAAATGGAAAGGGGAAGGGAGGAGTCAGGCAGCGCCTTTGAGACTAACTGATTTATTTATTAATTTTAATTAATTTCAATCCATTTCTTCAGATGCTGAAATAGTGGGTTAAAATCTATAAAAGGTTGAGCTAAAATAGACAAGTTAATCTAAAGCTGTTGCTATATTCCTTCTACCCCTTTCTCAAATTACAGTGGGCCTCCACATTTGTTGGGGTTAGGAGCATCAGACCCCCCATAAAAGTGGAAAAATTGCAAAAAAAAAAATGACTATTTTTTTTAACCTGAGAGAACACCTCTCTAGGAATATCTGCGTCCTCCAATGCAACTCTATAGTCATCATCTGCCAGATGTTGGCAATAGAATTATGCTGGAGGACCTACAAATGCCTAGATAAGTCTTCTCTCTAGGAAGCTCTAGAGGTCCTCCAGCATGACTTCTGGTGAAGTTGACTATAGAGTTCCACTGGAGAAGTTTGATATTCCTAGAAAGAACATATTATTCAAATCCACGAATAATCAAATCTACAAAAGTCAAAGTTGCAAATTTGGACAGCTGACTGTCGTCACAGTTAAAGTTCCATACTCCCCAGTACAACTATACAAGTTTTAAAAAATTACAGTTATATTGCAAAGGGAATGATGGTGTCCCTCACCAAATTACAATCTTAGTTATGCATTAGTTATTACAAAAAGAAGATTTAATTACAGCTAACTAGTTACATGTAACTAGACACTTTGGCCTCATTCACACTACATTTATAAACTGATTTTTGAGTCGAATCGATGAAGTGATTTAGTGCCGAATAGATGTTCACACTATTCAAAACGCAATCGAACCTGCCTATTTCAATTCACTCCACTTCGCGTTCACATTCAACAATAGGATCGAATCAAAATGGAGTTGTGTCACAGGGGTGACCATGCCACAGGGAACCGAATCCAATCGACAGCGCATTTACACTTGCGTTGAATCGATTCATTTAAAAAGATGCAGGGAATGCCGCAGATTTGGAAGAACTGGTTTAACTGGGTTTAGTGCTACGCCCCCCTGACAAACTGTGCCAAAAATTTGGCACAAGTGCAAACAAGGGCCCTTTAAACTGGTTTGCATTGGTTTGAAAACTGGTTTATTATGTAATGTGAATGAGGCCTTCCAAACTCTGCTTTGCCATGGGAATTGGCATGTGGCCCTTTAAGTGCCTCCAGTCTGTCTCTCCCAAGCTCCCCTCTGTCTCCATAGTAGGACTGGTTATACATTTAATTATTTAAGCTAATTGTTAGAGAGAAAAATTCAGTCTCTGTTTTGCACTGAAGAGTCTATCAGAAACACGTATCCATGGAAACTGATCAGTCAAGCAGACAAAAGACAAGCCAGATATATATATATATAATTTTTAAAAAGCACATGCCACATTTTATCCAGGGGAGAATTGGTTTGAATTAGATGCCCCCCTAAAATCCAGACATTTGAATTTTATCAGCATTTTTACACTTTTACTGCTCAGGAAAAGAGAAGAGGCTTAGTGTTTTTTGTTTGTTTGTTTTGCATTTTCTTTGCATTTAAACATTTTGCAATTTTTATTCACGCTTGGCATGGTCAAACGAAGATAAAGCACGTTTATATAGCTAAGATAAAGTCCTCTCAGTTTTAAAAGAAGTGTTAAAGAGTCCTTAGAGCTCTGCTAATGAATGGGTGGGATTTGATGCAAGGGTGGCCCTCAGATGTTGCTGGACTGCATGTCCCAGCAGGCTCCACCATTGACAATGCTGGCTAGGGTTAGTGGGTGTAACCCAGCAGTCGAAGGTTGAAGCACTATTATCATAACAAGTAACACAAAACAGTGTGTGTGTGAATAGCTGGGTAATGCATCTCTTATCCATTGGGTTACAGTGATCACTCATTTGATACATGTATTTTTCACCTCAGGGTTTACCTGTTACAAGCAAATGTACAAATGAAAGAGAAGACAGTGTATTCAAGTTTTGTATTTTGTAAAGTTAGTGTATTTGGAGAATGACTGGACAGGGAAGGGATAAGATAAGAGGCAACATGAAATACTGTGGCTTAAATTAGCACAGAACTTGAGTCTGAATGAGCCCTTTATTTAAAAGCCATGCAAATTAGGATGCTACAAGATTCTGGCCGGTGGTACAAAATTGAAAGGTCAGGAGAAAAAAAATATTTTGAACTACACTCCCATAACTCAACTGGCCAGCCTGAGTATGCTGGCTGGGGATTATGGCCATTATAACCCCAAAGTAATGTTTGGAAGCTCTGCGCAAAACACACCCAACAATAGCAATCAACTCTATATCTCAAAAGGAATGAATGGTAGGATCATAGATTTGGAAGGAGTCTCATTGGTCATTGAGTCCAATCCCCCACTCAGCTCAGGAACTCCCCCTGAAGTTATCCATAACATTGGGAGACAGTGTTGTGTAGTGGTTTGAGCCTTGGACTATGACTCTGGAGGCCAGAGTTCAAATCCCTGTTTGGCCATGGAAATCTGCTGGCTGACCTTGGGAAAGTCACTCTCTCTCAACTTGAAAGAAAGGGAAAAGCAAACCCTCTCTCATAGAATCAGAGTTGGAAGAGACCATAAGGGTCATCTGGGCCAATGGCTTGCCATGCAGGAACACACAATCAAAACATCCCCAATAGAAGGCCATCCAGTTTCTCTTTAAAAACCTCCAAAGGAGGAGACCCCACCACACTTGGAGGCAGCATGTTCCACTGTCAAACACTATCAGTCTTACTATCAGGAAGTTCTTCCTAATGTTTCGGTGGAATCGCTTTTCCTGTAGTTTCAATCCATTTCTCTGTGTCCTAGTCTCTGGAACAGCAGAAAACAAGCTTGCTCCATCCTCAATATGAAATCCCTTCAAATATTTAAACATGGCTGTCACTTTTTAACCTTTTCCTCTAAACATATCCAGCTCCCTAAGCCACTCCTCATGGGATATGGTTTCTAGATCTTTCATCATTTTGGTCACTCTTCTCTGGTCATGCTTTGGCTTGTAAACATAATCTTGTATTGTATTGTATTGTATCCTCTTGTATTGTGGTATGCAGAACTGGACACAATATTCCAGGTGCAGTGTGACCAAAGCAAAATAGAGTGGTACTATTACTCCCAACTATCTAGACACTATACTTCTAGTGATGCAGCCTAGGACCATATTGGCTTTTTAAGCTGCTGCGTCACACTGTTGACTCATGTTTAGCTAGTGTTCGACTAGACTCCTAGAATAATTCTGGCCAAGAAAAACCTGTTATAGAATCACCATGGGTTGGAATCTACTTGAAGGCACATAACAACAACATAACACAATACAGTGCAGTTATGCAAAATAATAATCATTAAAATTAACCTATTATCTTGTGGTATTGCTTCCAGATGTTACTTTCAGTTTTGTTTCAGTCATAGTAGACAATGTTCATCAGCCCATCTCTGATTTCCCAATGTGCCAGTTGTCTGGAGGAAAGGAGAGATGATAACGGAGCTCCAGCCAAGAAAAGCTGCAGGCTGAATTTCTTTGCCAGACGCTGACAAATTGGTGCAGCTTCTCTTAGGGCCGAAGTAATGACAAGCGTTTTCATCTCTCTATTTTCGCAGTGACAGCCTTTTTATAAATAGTGGAATGAGTCAGGGCCATGAATGACACAGCTAAAACAAATCAAATTGTGTGTAATTAGGGAAATCAGATTATTTGAGATAAAGTGTTGGTAGTGGTGGCAATGATGATGATTATGTTGATGTTGTTGTTGATGGTGATATTGTTGGAGGTCTGCCATAACTGCTTCTCAGCATCTGTGCCTGAGGCAATTGCCTCACTCTGCCTAAGGGTAGAGCCAACCATGGAGGCCTAGTAGCAACATAAGAGTTATTTCCTCTCCCTCTGAGATTGGTTAGAAAACCGTCAAGATGGAGGAGGCGTTAGTACGAAATGTACAACCCATTATCTCCACAATTTTTTTGTCCACAGGGAAGTTCAATACATCCAAACAGACAGTTACCACTAATGCTCTGTACTGAATTATTATTATGTGCCTGCTCTTCTCTTTGGACTTTATCACACAGGAGGCAAACATCCTCATCCCGTCATTAAATCACCATTAAATCCCGTCAAAATCCTGCAATAACAGGATGATTTTCAGATGACGTTGCACAACATCATCTGAAAATCATCCTGTTATCACAGGATTTTGACAGGATTTAATGGTGATTTAATGAAGGGATGAAGATGCTTGCCTCCTGTGTGATAATATCCTTTTTCTGAAGTATCGTTAATAGTCAGTTATAATTTATTATGGCCCATAGACCGAAAATTTACACATTCAATCAAAATATACATATCATCAAATACCCCAAAATAAAACTGCCAACAATAAGTAA